GGAGTCAGAACGTTCCCACGAGTTATTCACAACATCTTCTGAGACCTGGTGGTTCACACGGAGCCTCTTTGAGTGACAGTCAGTTCATCTTGGTCCCTGATCCTGATGTTGTCGTCTGATGGTCGTCTCCGTTTATTCCTGATTAAATAAATGTTTGCTCATGTATAATTTTTGTTAGAAGAAAGTAGAAGTTGAGCAACTCCAGAAGAGGAAGTCTTTTAAACACTGCATGACTCACGTTCTCAGCGTGAAGTCTAAACCTGCTGAAGGTGCTGATGGTCCACACACCTTCTCCTCAGCTGTTGTCCTCACCGACCCCTGAGGTTGTCCCAGTGATGTTCAGTCCCAAGGAGTCCTCCTCATGGTGTATCCTGGATCTGATCCACCAGCAGAACCCCAGAAAGACGAGTGAACTGGTACCTCGAACTGACCAGTAAGGAGCTGAGACCTGGTGACTGGATGCAACTTTGGACTGGTCATGTCATTTTTAGCTGATGCAGCTTGATCAATCATTTCCTGCTCGCAGTGATAATAAATGACTTGATCTGGTCACATCAAATAACTTCTCTCAACCAAAATCCAAAGTAAACTATTTATCAAATAATTAAACTTTGTCTAAATTTGTGCGCTTATAAAAACAAAATCAATTCCTGCTCAAATAATAAATTTAGCCTTAGATAAAAGAGAATTAATCCTTGATTGATTCATTATTATTGTTCAGATTGTTTGTTACTGTTTAAAAACTTTTAAAACCAGTTATTCTATAAATTATTATTCTTTAGCACGTATGATGTTTGTTTATTGTTGTTGTTGATTCTTAGTTTGATTAATTATTTTTGTAATAAAACTTGAGACAACTTGTGAGGATTTGTTCCCTGGTGTGTCTCCCTCTTGTGGTCAGTCCTCGCTCCTGCACGCCCACCTGCTCCTGGCTGTCCCTCCCCAGGTGTTTGTCGTTAGAGTTTGTTTTTACTTTTCACATCATTCCTTCTCATCCACGAGGGTGCTGTAGCACCATCAGCACCCTAGTTCACACTCCTTGTCGAATTTTAAATTTCTCATGAGTTAAATATCATCAAACCATAAAGGTTAACTAAAGGTTAACGAAAGGTTAACTAAAGGTTAACTAAAGGTTAAATAAAGGTTAACTAAA